GATAGATAGATAGATAGATAGAGAGATATATAATAGTAGAAAGGAGGATATATAGATAGATAGAGAGAGAGAGAGAGAGAGAGAGAGAGAGAGAGAGAAGAGATGAGAGAGAGAGAGAGATGGATAGTAGAGTGTGCAGCAGGCGGGTATAGGCAGCCAGAATTAAAGAGGCTTTTTTTGTGTCGTTTAATTCCATTCAGGGCTGGATGCTGCCACAGTGAGAGCACAGGTCACGAATTTATAGCCACTCTAATGGGCAGCCCAGACCAAAGCACTGCAGTCAAGCACATTCTCCTCTGTGCACCACACCACACACCACACACCACACACACACACACACACACACACACACACACACACAAACACACACCCACACACACACACACACACACACACACACACACACAACACAGCCCGCCCGCTGAACCAACAACACACGCACACACACGCACGCACACACCACACACACACACAGCACAACACACACGCAGCACACACCACACACACACACACACACACCACACACACACACCTGGAAGCTGTGCTCGAGGTCTGAGATGTGTATCAGAAACCGCTGAATGTGAGAGCGTGCAGATGTCTTGTGTATGTATGCAGCAAATGAGAGGGCAACACACACACACACACACACACACACACACCACCACCACACACACACACACCACACACACACACACACCACACACGACTGCCCAGCTGGGGGTCTCCTGTACAGCAACTGTTGAGAGAAGGGACTTTCGTGCTGGCCCTGTGGACAAGCAGAGAACAAAGAGAGAGTTAGCCATCAAACACACACTTACAAAACACACCACACAACACACACACACACACCACACACACAACACACACACAACACACTACCACAGCTGTTTGAAACACAACCACCCAGGAGAGATTGAGGAGAGATCACAAGTTAAAAAGTCTGATGTTGACACACCGCTGATCATGTGAATGAAATCACCCATAGATAGAGACACAGTTCACTATGTGTGTGCTGCGTAGTACTTAATTTAAAGGCGTGTATGTCAAAATCTCAAAGATATGTTACAATAATAATTGTTTAATATAACAAAAGAAACATAGTAGGCTGTTAAATGTTGCATTGCCAAACAAAAAAATGCCTTCATGTTAAAAAACAATGCCTTCATTAACAACAAAGATATCCTGACATGTTCTATAAGGCTGGACCAGAATGTTTCAAATGACCACTGGGCAGATGCAACAATCTATAATCAAATCTAAAAAACTTTAAAATCATTATATGCTGGAGCAAATAAAAAACAAGCTGATTAACGTGGTTTATACTTAAACATTAGAAGATTAAAATGTTTCATTTTCTTCATTAAAAGAAGTCAATTCTGCCAAATACCATCTAGAGGAATAAAACAAATGTTAAATATAACAGGGTAAATGGACTTTTATATAGCGCTTATCCAGTCTTTAGGACCCCTCAAAGCACTTTACATACTACATGTCATTCACCTACATCCATTCACACAGAGCAGTGTACCTTACTCTAGGACCTAACATTCATACACATTCACACACCGTTGGCCATGCCATCGGGAGCAACTCAGGGTTAAGTATCTTGCCCAAGGATACATCGACATGTTGACTGCATGGGCTGGGATCGAACCCACAACCTTCTGGTTGAAAGACGACCGCACTCCCTCACAGCCACAGTCGCCAAAATCAATCAGTTTTTGTTGTTTTTTTTATCGCATTTTGGTAATTTTTTTTCTTTTTTTTCAATTTTATATACAGCATTTCTTGTTGTTATCTTGTTTAGTATCTCTCATGGTCATTTTGTATTTCTTTTTGGCTGTTAAGTATCTGATTTTGGTGATTTTGTATTGTTTATAGTCTGTTACAATAACCGTCCATGCTTCTGAGCAACCTTTATCTGTTCATTGCATTAAATTGCATACATGAACATTTATGTTTTACTTCTTGACACTACCATAAAGAATATGTGATATGAGCTAATCAAGTATCACTTTAGACTTGTGATAAATATCCTCTATCCTCACATCACTCTTTTTATCTCCTCATTTCAGGCCCAAAAGCAGGAAGTCACCATCGAAACTCTACAATCTGAGCTCGATCAGACCAACGAGGAGCTGGACAAACTAAATTCCTCCCACTTAGAAGAACGAGCCCAACTCATTCATGACCTTCAGAGCTGTGAGCGGGAAATCGACAGACTCAAAGATGTCGTGTTGGAGAAGGACGAAGAGATATCAACGCTCTCCGGTAACATGGCGGAGTACGCGGAGCAGGTCACGATGATGAAGCGAGACATCAAACTCAAAGACGAGACCCTGGTCCGTGTGGAAACTGCTCTGAGTAAAGTAGAGCGGGAAGCCATGATTCTCAGAGAGTCGCAGACTTCAGAGCAGAAAGATCTGGATGGAAAGATCACAGAGCTGGTGGAGAAACTCAAAGACACTGAGATGGAGTTGCTCAACGCTAAAAAGGAAAGCGAGTGTAAGGTGACGGAGGTGGAACATCTGATAAAGCAAACTGAAGAAGACAAGATGACAATTCAGGAGCTTCGAGGGGAGATCCAGAAACAGATCGTGAGCCAGCGTAACCATCTTACTGAATGTGAAACGCATATCGCTTCACTAAAGGAGCAGCTGACTTTATCCACACAAAAGCAGCAGGAATCAGAAGCACTCCTTCTGCAGCTCAAGGACCAAAACACCAGCAGTGAGCAGATACAGCAGCAGCTTAATGACAAGGATCAAAAGTATGAGGAAGAACTGAAATCGTCCAAGGAGGAACAGAACAAACTCTTGGCTCAGGTGGAGAAATACAATCACGAAATGCAGACGTTGTCCAAACAGTTAGAGGTGCAGGTACAGAGTGAGGAGCACATCAAAAAGGACATACAGGAGAAACTGGAAACCATAGCAACACTGGAAAACAAACTGAAGACCACAGATAATCAGGCTGAGGAGGAGAGGCAGAACTTCAACACTAAGATGCAAAACCGCGACTCAGAAAAGGAGAAACTGAGCAATGAACTCGAAAGCAAATCTGAAAATATCTCCAAACTCAGAGGTCTATTAAAAACCATGAAGACGGAGAAAAAGCAGCTGCAAGATAAACTCAAAGGGCTAACAGAGGAGCTGGAGCTACAGAAGCAGAGTGCAAATGAACTTAATGGAAAGGTCACGTCTGCTCTTGAACTCAACAGCAGTCTTGAGAAGCAGGTAGATTGCCTTACGAAAGAGAAAGAGAGACTTGAAATGGAAGTAACGGAAAGCGTAAAAAGTATTTCCGAGGTCTCACTCGAAAAGGATTCCTTGCAAGCCAAAGTATCCACATTGGAAACTCAGTATTCACAAAACAACGCAATAATTGAAGAGCTACAAAGGGCTAAAGAGGATTTGACTCATCGCAGCAATGAGTTGAATAAAGTTCTTGAGCAAAGCACGCACTCAACCTCAGAGGTCCTCCTGGCGAAAACGAATGAATGTAGTAATCTCAGCCAGTTACTCAGGGAAAGGGAGGACAAGGTGACACGTCTACAGGAAGAAGTACAACGTGTATCTTCTAAGGTAGAGCAGCTTCAGCAGGACATGGCAGAAAAAGACCAGGTTGTAATAGAGCATCGAGCGCAGATAGAAACCCAAGAAAACCAGCAAACACAACTTCAGGAAACAGTTTCTCTGCTGCGAGAACAGGAGAAAGGTCTGAAGTCTGGCTTAATGGAGAAGGATACGATATTAAAAGAGAAACAGGAAGGGTACGACAGTTTGCAGAGTGAAATTACGCAACAGAAAGATATTGTTTCTAAGCTACAAGCAGAAGCTGAATCTCAAAATGTGGACCACTTGAAGCTTCGCACGCAGATTGAAGAGAAAGAAGGGATGTTGAAAAAAATGACGCAGCAGTGTCAAAAACAAAAAGACAAAGTCAACGATGCTAACAAATCTGTTAAGTCTCTGAGTGAACAAATCCGTGTCCTGGAAGAAAAGGCCGGACAGCTCGAAGCTGAAGCTGAACGCAGGCAAATGGAGATAGCTAGCTTAAACGGCAACATCCAGGCAATACGTGAGGAAAACCAGCAACTCCGTGCCGCTTGTGAAAGCAGAGAAATGCAGCTTTCTCAGCAAACACAACTTCTATCTGAACTTGATGGACGCCTTAAAGCGACTCTTGAACAGAACTCCAGTTTTAGCGTACAGATTAGCAGCCTAACAGAAAACAATCAGAGACTACAAGAGGAGTTAGCGCAGAACACCAAATCTGTTTCTGAGCTAGCCACTGAGAGGAAGTCCCTCCAAGAACAAAACTCTGGGCTTGAAAGTCAAATCTCGGAGAAGCAGAAGATTATTGAAGAGGTGTTGAATGAAAAGGAGATGCTTACTGTTGCAGGAGATGAATTGAAAAAGATCCTGCGGGAAAGCGAAACGTCGAACTCTGCAGGTTTGCTGGAGAAAACGAGTGAATGTGCTAATCTGTTGAAAACGTTAAGGCAGAGAGAAGGACAGCTTGAAAGTCTAGAAGAGCAACTCGATGCCTTTAAGAAGCAAGTCAGTCAGCAAAGTTCACAGTTGGACGCTCAGCAGGACCAACTGCTGCAACTTCAGGATACGATATCAATGCTTCAGGAACAAGGATCTGTCCTCAAGTCAGGGCTGATGGAGAAAGACAAGATGTTGCAGCAGAAAGCAGAGGAGAGTAGTTTCTATCAGAATGAAGTTGTGCAACAGAAAGCCTTAATATCACAGATGCAGGGTGAGTTCGAGTCACTCAGGCAGGAGTGCTCGGAGGCGAAACAGCAGATAGAGCAAAAAGAAAAGACTTTACATAACCAGAAAGACGAGCTGGACAAACGAAGCGAGTCGGTGATCTCGCTCAGCGGTCAGCTCGGTGCCATGAACCAGAGCGCTGCAGAGGCAGAGGTTGAGATTACAAACCTAAAGAGTGCTGTAGAGAAACTCACTGCAGAAAACGGTCAGAGAGAGGAGCAGAGGAAAGCAGAGATCATCGATTTGAACGATAACATTCAAGCACTGAATGAGCAGAATACAAGATTGAAATCTGAATTTCAGAAAACAGTGGCAGAGTTGTCCAAAGCACAGGACGAGGTGACGCATTTCAAAACAGCCGTCGGTGATGTGGACAACAAACTTAAAACTGTAGACTCTGAAAAAGATAGGCTTAATTTGGCAATGCAAGAAAAACATGATTTGATCCAGAAACTCAACAGTAGGATCAGTGAGCAGCAGGAGCAGCTGAAACGGAACGAAGAAAACAATGTCAGTTTAAAAGCAAAGGTTTCAGAACTTGAAGAATCTGTGTTTGGACTCAGAGGCGAAGTCGATAGTCTTTCTGCAGAGTCTTCTATCCTGAAAACTACTTTGGAGAAAAAAGAACAATCAAGTCTTGAATATCAAAGTAGTTCTTCAGCTGCCGTTGAAAACCTCAACTCAAATCTACAAGCCAAAGAGGTGGAGTGTGAGAGCTTGAAAGAAAAGATGTCCCACCTTGAGGAATCGACCACAAAGCTCAACAGCACCCTCCAAGTTCAGATGTCTGAAGCAAAACATCTGAGAAAGGCATTGGGAAAAAAAGAGTCCGCTCTTCAGGAACAATCAAAGTCCCTTCAGGAAATCCAGAGAACATCCGATGAAGCTTTGCTCTTCAAATCTCAGTTCATGGAAAGCACAGACTTGGTGTCACAGCTACAGAATCAAATCCAACTGCTGTCCACCGAGTCTGCAAACCTCAGACAATCAGCAGAAGAAACACAAAGTGCCTTTAACAACCTACAAGAGAAGTATGCAGCTAACTTAGAGGAGCTGCAGGATGTGAGACAGCAAGTGTCCCAAAGGACTGATGAGGTGTTAAACCTTCGGAGGTTATTGGACGACACCAGTAACGAACATCAGACGGCAAAGACGATGATAGAAACTCTGAGAAATGATTTATCTGAGACGCATCACAAACTCCAGAAAACAGAAGAGTTGAACTCCATTCTGTCAAACGAAAAGGACGAGGCCTTTGCTTCTCATCAAGCAAGCGTTTCACTGCTGACCGTGGAAATAGACAGACTCAAATCACAACATCTTCAAGTCGTGGCACAGATGAATGCTCTCACAGAAAACGTTGAGCAGAGGGAAATGGCTCTCCATGCGATTAACAGTCAGTACACATCGCAGGCCAAACACGCATCTCAGCTGGTGTCGGAAATGCAGAAACTAGAACAGCAGAATAAGAGACTAAATGAGGAGATTAGTTTGTCAAAGAACGAGCACCAGAAGCTTCTCACGGCCGTCAGTCATGAAAACACACATTTGCAGGAGGAGGTTAGGAAACATCTAGCAGAGAAGGAGGGGCTGGAAAGGAGTCATCATCAAATATTGGCCTCCCAGGTTCAAATGGAGCAGCAGTCCAGCAGCACAAAGGAGAAAATGACGTCCGAGAAGGAGAGCCTTCAAGCCAAGGTTAGTGCCAAAGATGAGGAAGTTTCTCAATTAAAAGAAAACATTCACAGGATAGAGCAAATTCTGCAGGATTCTGAGCAAGAGTGGCTCTTAGTTTTGGATAAAGAGAAACAGGATAGGAACATACTCGCAGAACAATTGCAAAGTGTTGAAAATGAAATGAAGTCTAAAGATGTTAAAGTTAATGCTCTGAAAGGAGACCTGGACAGTTTGCAGGAGAAACTAGCAGAGGCTTCATCTGCGATCAGGCAGGGGTCCGATCAACTGCGCGCCAAAGAGCTGGAGGCAGCAGCATCCAGGGTCCAACTGGAGAAGGTTTTAGCTTCGTTCCAGGAAAAGGATAATGACAATGATAATTTGCAACAGGCTCTAAAAGCGGCAGAACATGAGTTACACAAACTTGTAGTGATCAGGAATGGTACTAACACAGATTTGTTAGCTAAAGGATCAGCAGATTTAGGGACAGAAAAGGCCTCTTTAAAGGACATGATTACACAATTACAAGAAAGCCACCAGTCGGAGGTAGCTGCTCTGAAACACGAGTTGGATAAAACAGTGACACAATTACAAAACACCCAGAACACACTTGAGAAAGGAGAGAGGAGTAATGATGAAAAGGGTCAACAAATGTCACTTTTGCAAGAGATGGTCGAGCATCTACAGACGAGGCTCAACGCTGAGTCGGAGAAAGTGAAAGAAGCTTCTGTCAAACACTCGTCCCTACACTTTGAATCACAAGAGAAATATGAGCAGATCAACTGTTTGAGCATTCAGATAAGTCAGCAGCAGGAGCTTCTCGCTGGACTCAGTCAGCAGTTAAGGGATAAAGACGCATCCATCGCCCAACTCATAGCATCAGCCTCAAATGAAAGGGTGAAACTCGGTGAGGAACAGTCATCTCTAACGGCACAATTGGAAAGCATGGAGCAGGAACACAACACCTCCACGAAGAAGCTTGAAGAGATGTCTCAGCAGTTAGAGGAACAGATGTCAAGCTCTCACAGTGAAATAGAGAGCATGAGTGCAGAGAAGATCGAGCTGATTAAGAAAAACGACGATCTGAAGAGCGAACTAGCCAAGGTGTCGAAAGAGAAAGACGCAACGAAGAAGAAGCTCCAAGCTGCTCTCGTTGTGAGGAAGGATCTGATGAAGAAAATCGAGCGATACGAAAGCCAGAAAGAAGAGAGTGAGAACAATAAAACGGAGGTTTCACTTTTACAGGATAAATTACAGGAAGTAAAAAATCAAGTCCAGGCGTCTGCTCAGATATATGAAGAACACGTGTCAGTTCTTGAGAAGAGACTTCTTGAGAAAGAAGGAGAGATTCTTGAACACAAACGTGGAAGTGAAAGACTTGTGGAACAATTACAGTCGGAAAAACAAGTCTTGAAAGCCACACTCGACGAGAAAGAAGTTTGTTTATCACAAACTTTGCAAACGCTGAATGAGAAAAGCTCTCTGCTGGAGAAGCTGCAGTCCACTGCTTCTGAGAGAGAGGAAGCATTCGACCAAGAGAAGAACAGCTGGGCGCAAAAATTAGAAGACCTTCAAAATGAAATAAAGACCTATCAAGATGAGATAAAGGTTAGATCGTCCTCCACATCTACTGCTGTTGATTTAGAGAATGAGCTTGCTCAAATCAAGCTTGAAAAGGCAAAGCTACAGAGAAAGGCTCAGGCTGCCTTGCTGGCGCGCAAAGAGACCCTGAAGAAAGCTCAAGAAAGTGAAAATAAATTAACTCAAGAGCTAGCCGAACTGAAAGACGACTACAAGGCTCTCCTGGAGCAGCGCTGTCAGCAGACCAATGAGTTAAGCGCCGTCCAGTTAGACTTCGACGAGAAGGTCAGGGAACTGGAGACGCTCCGTGATAACTCTTTGTCTGTTCTAGATGAGCTTAAAACCCTAAGACAGCTTGTCGAGGAGAAGGATAAAACTCTCCACGGTCTGAAGATGACTCTGGCGGAGAAAGAGAGCGAGTGCCATTCTCTTTCAAACCTGCAGAAAGAGCTGGAACAGGTTCAATCCAAATGTGAGAGTATGTCTCTTGAGATGGCAAGAAAAGAAGAGGCTCTAGTGGAAGTGGACCAAGATGCAGGTGCTTTGAAATCACAACTTCTCAAGGTAGAGATTGACTTGGAGAAAGCTCAGGCAGAAGTAACAGAGAAAACAGAAGAAGTTGAGAAATATCTGGAAACAATCAGAGTTGCTGAGCTGCAGAGCCAACAGGAGAAGCAAGCTTTATTGAATGAAAATACATCTCTGGAGACCCGTCTGAGCATCGCTGAGTCTGCACTGGAGGAACGCATGCACGCAAATGAAGGAAAATATCTACTTTTAATGGAGGAGAAAAAGGCTCTTTTGGAGAAAAGTAATACGTTGAAAGTGGAACTCGAGACAACAGTTGATTTAGTTTCACAGAAATCCTCAGAAGTTTCAAAAGTCCAAAAGACTTTAGCAGAAACACAGCAGCAGCTCAGTGACTCAGTGACTCAGCTTGAAAAAGCACAACTTCATTGCACTGAAAAACAATCACATTTGGATTTGTTGAAGCAAGAAATAGAAAACGCTTACAGATTAATTGATGAGCTCCGAAATGAGGTTACCACCCTGGATAAGCAACTAAAGGAGAAAGTGAATGAGCAGCTACATCAGAACAAGCCTGACATGTGTGCCGATGTTAACGAAGAAGTCGTAAGCTTGTCTTGCAAAAGTGCTGAAAACTTTGAGGTGAAACTAAAGGAGAGAGATGATGCCTTGCTCGTTTCTCAGGCTCAAGTTTCAGAAAAGGAAGAACTAATTGCTGCACTTGAACTGCAATTACAACAACAAATGAAAATAAATGAAACCACCATTGAAAAGATGAGAACAGAGTCTGATGAGTTTCAGAAATCTCGAGACAATGGCGGAAAAATGAATAATCAGGACAACCAAAGCAAAGTTGCTCTCCTAACCAGGAAACTTCAAGCAGCTTTACTTTCCAGAAAAGAACTCTTGAAGGAAACTGCGATGCTAAAGGAGGAAGTGGAAAAGCTGTCAGACAAACATGCAGCTCAAGAAGCCGACTACTTCACTCTGGAGGCATCAGTGCTGAAGTTAAAGCAACAAAATACGGACTTGGAAAGCTCTGTGTCATCCCTGAACAAACAGAGAGACGGGCTCAGGGCTGACGCTGACGGCACCTTAAAGGATAATCGCAGTTTATCCGCAGCCTGTGAAAGCTTGAAGCTAACCATCGAAAACATCACACAGCAGAAACAGGCTTTCTCCTGCCAGCTGGAATCTCTTAAAGACTCTCAAACAGACGAGCTTACCAAGTGGAAGTTGAAACACGCCGAGCTGAAACAAGAGTACGAATCTCTTTTACAAGCTTATGAAAATGTGAGCAGTGAAATGGACAAGATGAGACAGCTTTTGGAAGGGGCTAAAAGAGAGAGGCAGGAAGCCCTCAGGAAAATCCACAAACATGAATCTGAGATGGAGATTCTGGAAAAGCAAGCTAGAGAGATGGAGGAAGAAAATGGAAGAATTAAAGACAAGATGCAAATATTTTCCAAACAGAAACGGCAGAAGATTGAGGAGCTGGAGGATGAGAATCAGAAAATGAGAAAAGAGCTGAATGAGCTTGAAGAAAACCACAAAATGGCGACGTGCGAGATGACTGAAAAAGATCAGCAATTGGAGACCGAGATTTCCCGACTTAAAGAGAAGCTCACTGAGTTTGAGGTTGAAAATAACCAATTGTCAGAAAAGCTTGAAGAAGCCAGCTGTTCATTGGAAGTGAAGCACTCCAAATCAAATGACTACTCAAACAACATGCAACTAAAACTTGATGAAGCTCTGAGTTTGAATAACTCACTGACAGCTCAGATTGAATCCCAGAAAACAGAACTCGGTGCTCAGTTGGAAATGTACAACTTGTTACTGAAAGAGAAGCAAAACCTTTCTGGAAGAATTGAGTCGATACAGAATGATCAGGAAGCTCAACTGGGACAGAAAGATGATGACATTAAAGAGCTCAAAGACATAATCAACAGACACAGTCGAGAAACTATCAGCCTGAATGAGAAGGTGAGGATCTTAGAGGACGATAAGTCACTTCTGCAGGAGGAGCTTGAAAATGTTCAAGACATTTCAGACAAAGTTAAAAATGAAAATGAATATTTGGAAACCGTGATCCTCAAGAACACTGAGAGGATTGACGATCTGACCGAGTCGGTCTCTGTGTTGCAAACCCAGAACAAGCAGCTGTCCTCTCAGCTGGCCGTCAGCAAAGACATGAGCAGTCAAGTTCGCAAAGAGAAAGAACAGGAGCAGCTGAAGTTAGTCCGGGAGTTTGAGGAGAAGCTGAAGACGGTTCAGCGAGGCAGTGAAGGCACCAAAAATGTGAAGAAAGAACTGCAAGAGCTTCTCAAAGAAAAGCATCAGGAGATCAATCAGCTTCAGCATAACAGCATCAAATACCAGGAACTGATTCTAGATCTAGAGAGGGCTCTGAAGACATCTCGGTCAGCCTGTGAACAGTCTGAGAAAGAAGTGAAGAAAAGCTCTGAGAAAATGGCGGTGTTAGAGGAGAGAAGTAAACAAGTTGAAGCTGAGCTGATAACGCACACGAACCTCCTCCAGGAGGCCGCAGCAAAGATGTTGAGTGTCGAGTCTGAAAGAGATCAGCTGGCTCTGGACATGTCAGAGGAAAGTAAAAAGCTTGAGGATCAGCTCATAGAGAAAAGACAACAGCATATAGATGAGATGCAATACAATTCCTACATGGAGAATGAAGTCGTGTTACAGCAACAGATTGATGACCTTAAGGAGTTAACGGAGAAAGAAAGTCAGAAGGTGAATGAACTGAGGCAGCAGCTGGACTCTCAACATCTGCAGATAAACACTTTCAAAAGATCAGCGGAGACTGATGAGGCGAAGCTCTCGGCTTTATCTGCCACTCCTCAGGGAGCAGATGCTTCCAAACTGTGGAACGATTTGTACCAAAAGACGTTACATGAGAAAGATAACCAGCTCCTGGAACAGGGTTTCGTGATCAAACGATTCCTGGATGACATGAGAGTGAAAGATAAAGAGATGAATGAGGTCCGAGTGACCAAGTCCCGACTGGAGAGGACTCTCAATGAATACTCGATGGCCGCCGCCGCTCAGCAGAGACAGCTCTTCATCATGAGCGCGAGCAACGCTGAATTGAGTGAGACTGCAGAGCTCATGGATGTGCAGGTTAGGGAACTGGGTGCACACGCTGATCGATTAGAAAAAGATAAAAACGTTCTGAACCGAGAACTGGCAGACAAAGAAGGTATCATTTCTCTAATGCAGCTGAATCTCCAACAATTACAGAAGTTAAACGAAGACTCAGATGCTCAGCTGCTGCTTTTACAGTCTGAGAATGACAAAGTCCAAGCTGACTTCGAGAAGCAAGAGGGACTTTCACTGCAACTGAAAACACTCCTGCATAGCAAAGACACTGAGATCTCCTCCTTACTGTCGTGTAAAGACGGACAGATGTCAGGATATCTAGAACAGCTCCAGACCAATCATCGTACCCAGGTCGCGCTTTATGAGGACCGCTTAACCTCTTCACGCTACCAGAGAGAACAGGCTGACCAAGTGTTGAGAGGTCTTGAAGCAAAGGTGAAAAGTCTGCAAATCCAAGTTACCAAGTCTAGCCAGGAAAAAGAGCAGATGGCTGCTAAGATGGAGTCCTTTAAAAACTCAATGGCGTCTTTACAGAGTGAACGGGAGCGATTGATGTCAGAATACAGAATACTTGAAGCAAAGAGTCAGTTAAGTTTCATGGGTAGAGACGGCTCTGCTGACGGGGAAGGTGGCGCCACCAAAGGCCTTAAACATGAAATAAGGAAGCTGTTGCACCAAATGGATGATCTCAACTCTGAGAACGCTATGCTCAGGGCACAACTGGTGCGCTACAGAGAGGATCTGAACCAGGTTTTATTCCTGAAGGACAACCAGCTGAAGATCCTGCTAAAGAAGCAACAGGATGTGATCAAAGACCTCGAAAGCCAAAAGGCGGCAGCAGAAAAACAGCAAAGAGCGTCTCAGTTGGAACTTCAAAAGGAAGAAGAAGCAAGCAACACTTTTAAAGCAGAGACCTTGACGCTAACAGCTCATGTTTCAAATCTTGAAGCTGATGTTGTTACTCTTAAAAAGGAAAAGGTCTCGACGAATAAAGGCAAAGTGATTAATGATTTGCAGGAAGCAGTGGCAGCCAAAGCAGCTGAATGTAATGACCTCCAGCAGAGAGTTCTCTCTCAGAAACTCCTCAATGACGAGCTCAAGGAGAAAATGCAGCTGTTGGAAAAAGAAACGGAGAAAAGCCTCGGTGAAGCTGAGGACAAATACAACAGTGAGCTGGACGCCTTCGAGCGCGAGGTGGTGCTGATGAGAAACGAGCGAGAGACGGCCGATGGACGAGTCGCCGACCTCGCGAAAGATCTCTTGGAAATGGAGCAGCAGCTATCGGAGGCTAAAACACAAAGCAAAAACACCAAGGCTCAGAATGAGTCCATGGTCAAAGCCATGGTCGCTCTGCAGGACGACCGAGACCAGCTCATCGAAGACTTCAAGGTCCTGAGGAACAGATACGATGAAGAACTCAGAGAGACTCAGGCGGCTTTGAACAACATGGAGCGCAGTCTGCAGGACGCCACCTCCGACCTGGCCATGGTCGCCAAAGAGAGGGACATCATAGTTCAGAAGTTAAAAGCTTTGGAGAACAAAGACGCGCACGCAGAGCTCAGCAAGCTGTTGGATGATCTGTCGAAGGAGTTGTCCGAGAAGGAAAGGGACTTTAAGCAAGTGGTGCAGGAGAATAGCACCTTCAGCAGGCAGCTGTCGGCGTTCTCCAGATCTATGGCCAGCCTGCAGAACGATCGCGAGCGGCTGATGGATGATTTGACCAGCGCCAGAAAAGAGGTGGAGTCGAGCCAAGGGTCAAGCCCCAGTGTGGATCGATCTAAAGGAAGTGTCCTGCAGAATGAGAGGGAAGCGCCGGTAAGTCCTCAGCTGCGATCTGAGTTTGGCTGCTGCCTGCTTCCTCTCTGCCGTGTTTCATTTTGTGGAAAGCATGCAGGGTCATTTTGACTTTAAACACCATTGCTTTGGTTTGCATGGTCATTTGTGTTGCTATGCAAACTATCTTGTGTCGGTGTAATCAGTTTGAGGAAATGTTTCCTTTGAAGATGTACCACTTATGTGACTGACAACTTTTATTTTATTACAGCAGAAGATGGAGAAACTCCAGCAAACTGTAAACATGCAAACTTATGGACAATCACCTGAAAAGGAAATCATCAGCTACCAGGAGGAAACAGCAAATCTGAGGTATGAGCAGACTGAAGATAAGTTAGGAGATATTACAGATTTGTTCTTCAAAATGTTTCCATCGTGGCTCACTTGGAATATTTTTGGCTTTTTATTTGTAAAGTTGTTCATAATTGTTCCTTTGTTAATCCCGTGGCAACTCAGTGGACCTCTTTAAAATGAGAGCTACTTTTAAACCTAGCTTTTAATTGGCTATACTCAATTTGTATTGTTTTATGTATTGTTTAATTGACTTTTTATTTGTTTGTAGTTGTTTTATTTAGTGTCTTATTTATTTATTTAGTGTTTGTGTTTATTTATGTTTTCTTCTATTGTAGTTAAACTAAATAAACAAATTAATAAAAAATGATAATTGTTTTCTTCCGTTCTGTAGATCTGACACAGAGCGGAGGGACACACTGCCAGTCAAGGTAAGTTCATATTTAAACGTTTTGACTTTATTTTGTGTTGGTTTTGGATTTTTGTTCTCGTTATCCGTGCAACTATTTAATCCTCCTTAAAAAAATACTATTTCGCATTAAATATTTTTACATTTTGGCAATCTACATAATAAAAGGGCTGAACAACTGAATTCAAAATGAAGTCATTTCTATAAAAGCTATTATCTTTCTCTCATTTGAAATATCTATTAGCCGAGTAATTGTAATAGCTCTTTTTCAATATGTGAAGACATTTAAATAGCAGTCAGTTTAGGAACGTTTCTAAACCCACATCCTTTTGTTCAGGCTTGTATGTAATGTGTTCCCTCCCCTCCTCCTCAGGAGAGCGTGGTCCTGGCCGGTGGGAGTGGATGGGAGGAAGTTGTTCGTCAGCTGGAGGCCGAGAGGGTCCGGCTGCACGGAGATCTGCAGCGCTGCATGTACGAGATCCAGCAGAGAGACCTGTACCTGCAGCAGCTCAACATCAAGGTAGCATCAACACTCTGAAACTTAACACGACTGGATGTGCAACTTTCAACACAAGGCAATACAAAGAGCATCGGGCTATACTGCAACAGAAACACATTATACATGACATTTAAAAACAGTCATTTAACAAAAGAGAATGTAATACCATTAAAACAAGATGAAATAAAATAAGACGGGTATGAAATGCAAGAAATAAAGTGTAAGACTCGAAGCTGAGTGAGGTGCGAGGTGTATACACTTCACGTGTGTGTTCGGTAGCTGTTTGATTATGCAATAAACTCACAAAGCTGAATCTGAAACTTCTGTATATCAACTCTCAAGGAAGGAAGAAACTTAGAAAAAAGACAAGATGTTTGCTGTAATTTATCTTAAGTAACGGTCAATCTCACATTGTGATGACCTCAAAACAAGGAAATATAATCAAGTTTTGTTCCCTAGAAGCCTTGCTTTCACCCTGCTATCTGGTCTGAGTGTACGATCGCCCCCAATAATGGAAGCTTTATTTACAGCGAAAAGACCGAAAAATAACTCTTATCCAATTTAAGTACCAAGCTCTGGTGGACAGATTACGCTACATCTCATTGGCTTAGAGCTTGTCTGTGTTTCTCTTTATACTTTTGTTACTGTAGCATCCCATCAGCGTTAACAATGCCTATTCTTCCTGGGGTACACGCACACACACACACACACACACACACACACACACACACACACACACACACACACACACACACACACACACACTGTACTGACTATAGACACTTAAAACACACCAGATATAAACACAACAACTCATCTCTTGTAATCAAGGATGGAAGTGAAACAAAATCATCACCCATCATTAAGCCAAACAGGAAATTAGTGAGAAACTGCAGAGGAAGAGTCCCTGTGCTGTTTGCAACTAGAACAATAGATTTGATTACTGTAATCAGCATTCAGAATAAATAAGATTATTATATATTTAAAAACCTTTCTTGCTTTTTCTCTGACATTCTGAATAAATGGCTAAGTTTGTCGCTCGAAACAGAAAGTTATCCAGTTTTTTTTACCACTATCAAAACTAGGGAATCGGGGGATGAAAAGCTGTCTATTTCCACTTTAAATATATTAAATCTCCCCTCCTCCTCCCCCTCCTCAGTTGCAGCAGGCGATGGAGGAGAAAGGTGGGTTCTCGGCTCAGTTGAGAGCCGTTTCCCAAACCCTGAGGGACACCCAGACGCGCTGCCACTGGCTGGAGAGCCAGGTCCAGAACCAGAACCAGGCTCAGGTAAATAATAAATAAACATTATGGTGTATGTTTCTCCACATGTCCGTATTGTTAATTTCCCTTCCTGTGTTCCTCTGGACTGTCATACTAGGCAAACTGTCACATAATTACCACCTAGAGGCGACCCTCTGTAGTCCATAGAGGATAAAGGACTACAATTCCCACAGAGACACAAATATGGGCGAGCTGTATGGAGACGCAGACAAAACGCATTTCTTAATTGTTTGATTCTATAACAGTAACAGGAAGAAAGACAATCTGAGTTAGCTTTTTAAAGATCTTAGAGCTGCTTGGTCTTTTTTCTTTGTTGACTGTGTGGAAATCACAAGTCATCATAACTTTGAGTAAACTAATAACCTGCCCGTTGGAGATGTCTGTTCAAGAAGGCATCTATGGTGGCTTACAGTAAAAAAAAACTTCTCTATATACCTGTAATAATACCTGTAGTAATACCTGTAGTAATGCTGTCTCCTCACCTCCAGGGGGCAGTGTTTGCTGAGGTTGCACCTGGAGCCCCCCAGGAGAGGAGCAACAACTCCATGATGTCTGACACGGCTGAAAACACTCAGCTCCAAGAAAGGTGACGTGATATTTTTCACGAAATCCTCTCACCAAAAGTCTACAAACATAAAACTGGGATTCTAATTTTTTTACTAAATAATATCTATTGGTTTATTTATTATTTTTATATTTTCATTGTTTTTTTTACAGATAAAGCATTATTATTATTATTATTATTATTATTATGATTTACTTTTCCTTTTTTAATTGTTTTCTCTTCGTTCTGTCTACATTTGACTGAGTACGTAATCTGTTGTTTGACTTTTGGATTATTCTATTGTTGCATATTTGACCTTACCTGCTGCTTATTTGCTCATAACCTCTGACTGTTAGAGCACACAGAGCTGCATCCTGTGTTTGAAGAGTGCTTTACAAATAAAGATGTATTGTTACTCAGGCTGCTGGAGCTGGAGCAGAGTTTAACAGACGAGAGATCGAGAAGAGAGACGGCAGAAGAGGCTCTACGACTCGCTGAGGACCGAGCCAAGAGGTCACTAATCTTTCATTGTTTCTGTTTAATACCAGAGGAGGGAAGTAGAGGAGTACAAATACTTTGTTACTGTACTTAAGTACATTTTTCTGGTATCAGTACTTTACTCCACTACTTGTTTTTCTGACAACTTTTTACTTTGACTTCTTACATTTTGAACTCAAATACCTGTACTTTCTACTTCTTACATGTTGAACACAAATACCTGTACTTTCTACTTCTTACATGTTGAACACAAATACCTGTACTTTCTACTTCTTACATGTTGAACTCAAATAC